CGCGGGGCTGGGGCTGTGGGGCTGTCCTGAGACAGTGTCAAGGCCGAGGGTCAATCCCTGGAGGTTGGCAGCTGTGCGGTGTGGCTGGGCTTTGCGCAGTAGGAAAGGGCTACGGGGAGCTGAAGGAGTCTCTTTCCCCTTGGGAGTTTGCTGGGGGAGAGCTGCTCTTTCTGGCTGGGGAAAAGCCCCAAGCCCCTCTGCTCCGTGTGCAGGCAGCCTTTGCAGAGAGCAGGGCTGTGCGGGGCAGGCAGTGGGAGAAGGGGGAGCATCAGTGCAGTCCCTTCGTGCGGGGTGGCCTTTTTGCAGTCAGTCGAGGAAGTGTATGTGTTAAAAAAAAAAAAAAAAAAAAACCAAAAAAAAACAGTGGGAATACATTATGTACAAAAGCTGGCAAGTAGGTTGTTTCCAAGGTAGCTCTCTATGTTTCTGTTAGTTGAGGAAGTGCATTTGCTACTAGCGGCGGTGTTGGGCATTATTGCAGAGGAAAGTACAGTCAATTCCCTGCAGGAACAGAGGAGGATTAAGTGCGTTTATTTCAGTCATTTGTCAGAGTAGGTGGTTCCTGTTCAGTAGTGATTCTGTAACAAATGAAGATTCATAATAGAATTAGAAAAGGTTTTCTACTGGAAGTGTACTTGTAGTTTGCTTTGTGTGTTTAAGTCTGCTCACAGTAAGAATTTAACGTTACTGATACTTTTCTCAGTGTCTTAGAAACTTGTAGGCAAGTAATGGAAATTTTTATGTTTCTGTTGTGTTCTTGAACTAGATCTGCATGAACAGTGACTCTATCTTCTGTAAAGTCACAGTTCCCCTTTGTGTTAGTGGGATGGGAGAAGTAGGCCATGAACACTTCTGTGCCTAATTGATTTTTGTCTGTAATATATATGTGACAAAAACTTCACAAGAGCAGAAGTGCTTAATGGAATTATGGTGGTGATTTGAGGGGAGGATGACACACAACCCAAGCACCCTAATATTAAGAACTGTAGTTCTTGAACTACGTGTTTGCTGGAAGTGTGGTTGAGGAGGGGAGTGGATTAGATTCAACAATCATCTGTTTTACAGCAGAGTACGTATCTTCAGATCAAGTAGAACACAGGGTAGTCAGTACTGACAGATGGGCTGATGCTGAAGGTGGACTTTGCAGATAGGAAACCAATGTAAACTAAGAAAGTTTAAGTGCACAGAGTTGGAATTGAAATTTTTTGTAGTAGAGCTAAGTAAGTTGGACAGTCTAATATGTGCAAGCACTCACTGCAAATAAACAAAAAAAAATTCAAAGTTGATATACATGTTTTTGTTTTTCAGACCCCATCAGCTGTTCAGAAGATAAAACAGCTTCTTAAAGATAAACCTGAGCATGTAAGTATAAACAGGGCCAACCTGTAGATTGTGCTAAGGTATTAGCACAGCTCATTGTCACAGAGCATTTCTGGCTAAACTTGGAAGCTAGAAGGTGTTTATTAGAGATGTTGGCATCTTTTTCTGGAGGGGAATATGTAAGCTTGTTTATATATCAAGCTTCATTTTGTTAGAAATTGAAATGCAGGAAGTACCTGACTGTAATGACATTTCACTGTCACGTTTCTTTTGGGATCAATGAAGTTGAAAAAATCTAAGCTTCAAAATATTTGTGAGATATTTTTTAATGAAGCCTTTTAGTATGACATAGAGGTGACTTCTGGTAGGGAGAATATCTTCAGCTGTTGATATTAACACGTCGTTAATTCATTTCTTCCAGAAATTTTCATAGTGAAGTATACTGTAATAAAGTTAGATTCATACCCATTGGAAGACATCTAATTCTTAGGAAACTTTGCGTCATTTCAGAAACTATCAGTTTCTCCAAATAACTGATTGAGCTTGTCATCTTTTTTTCTTGGGGGAAAAACAGAGTCTTGCTTTCTAATCATTGTAAAAAAAAGCATTAGGTTTTCTTGCTTTACAGTATTATTTCAATAATAATATTTCTCTTTTTCATACAAGGCCCATTGCTTCTTTTAAACCATCCTCAGGAAGCCCTAAGCCTACAGGTTAGCTGGTCAGTTATCCCCTTGCTATAAAAGCTGTTTGCATTTTCCAGCCCATTATTTGTAGCAGATTCTGTAAAGAAAGGTATTTAGTCTGAAAAGATCAAATGCTGTTTGTCTGAGATCCCACTTGAAGACAAGTGATATGCTTTGATACGTTTTTATCATAACTTTGATTGTGGAAATAGACAACATAATTTTCCTCTTCAACGATGAAGCATGAGTATGTGGAAAGTGGTACAGATGCTTTTGAAAGATTGTTGTGCACAAATAGTTTTCTGTTTCTTTAAAACTTTTTCTCAGTTCCTTACTTACACAGATGCTCTTTCTGTCAAACTTATAGAATACTGTGAATGTTATAAACTTATTGGCTAAGGTCGACTTTAAGGTAGATTAAAACAGCAAATAAATGTACTTTATTTAAGGAGGAGATTTCTTTTTAAGTGAGACTGGCAATAGAGGTAATAAAAAAATCAAAGTATGTTTTTTAAAACTGTGGTTTGAAGTAAGTTTTATGATGGTGTCATTACAAGAGTTCTGTGAAAATCTAGTAACTGCACTTCTTGTGGCCTCACAGCTTCAGAATTACTTTACTGTCAATAACCTTAACATAGCACCTGAATTAGCATCTGAGTAAACTTTAATTTGAAGTCACAAAAATATCAGTCTTTGAAATTTTGGCTGTCTTTTTGAGACCAGACACCTACAGGAGTGACAACAGTTTATTACTTCAAAACTAACGTACTTCAGAGCTTGATCCACAGTAGCAAACATCTGATGTTTGCTTTTGCATTGGCAGTCCAATTTTGTAAAAGGAAAAAAATGTTACCTCTTAATCCATTAAGCTAATTGACTTCTGCTTTGAGGCAGTGGAGAATAATAAATTCAGCATTTCGTTGTTCTGCATACTTTTTATCTTGGTGTTCCAGAATAGGTTTTTATAAAGTAATTAATATGTTGTTGGCTTGCTTTTTGTTTTTGTTTTTTTTTTAGGTAGGTGTGAAAGTAGGTGTTCGTACAAGAGGATGCAATGGACTTTCTTACACATTAGAATATACAAAATCAAAAGGAGACTCTGATGAAGAAGTAGTTCAGGATGGTGAGTTTTTGATGCAGCAGAGCAAATTTCTGTGGTGGTGGGGAAGAATAACTTATTACAGGTTTGCCAAGGTATAGGTTAGAATTTACTTGAAGTAACACATTATAGCAAGAGGTCTTACTGTTCTGTTATGGGAATAGTTGTCACCTTAGTTTCTGTTTTGAAGTAACCAGTTAAGATTTGCAGCTTTGCAGTCTGTGTGTCAGAAACTACCCTATTAGAATAGTGCAGTCTGTCATTCATGTCTTTGGAGGTGGCTTGCAGCAGATATTTAGAGAATTCATAACAATGCATGCTTTGTCAGTATACTTAAACCAAAGTTTGGTAAAGGAAAGATTTTATTTGCAAGGGATTTTCCTCATTATCTTCTCTAACTAGTCTTAGTCTTCATTGATTCGTAATTTGTTTTTAAAGTCTTTATGCTTTTGACCTTTATATTGCTTTGTAACAACAGATTCTATTATTTTAATTTAAGAGTATTTTACAAATTGTTTTCATATGCTGATATTTAAGCTTTCTGCCTGATAATCTCATTGAGCAGCCCGTGAAGGATCTATTGCTGAAGTTCCTGTTGTGGTTGAACCCCAACCAGGCATAAGCCTCACGCAGCTGCTCACTCACTCTCCCACTGTGGGATGGGAAGGAGAATCAGAACAGTAAAAGTGAGAAAACTTGTGGGTTGACATTAAGACAGTTTAATAAGTAAATCAAAAGCCATGCATGCAAGCAAAGCAAAACAAGGAATTAATTCGCCACTTCCCACTGGCAGGCAACTGTTCAGCCATCTCCAGGAAAGCAGGGCTCCATCATGTTTAATGGTTACTTGGGAAGACAAATGCCATCACTCCAAACATCCCCCCTTCCTTATTTTTCCCCCAGCTTTATATGCTGATTGTGATGTCATATTGTATGGGATAACCCTTTGGTCAGTTGGAGTCAGCTGTCCCAACTGTGTCCCCTCCCAACTTCTTGTGCACCCCCAGAGCCTACTCACTGGTGCAGTCCCGTGAGGAGCAGAAAAAGCCTTGACTCAGTGTAAGCACTGCTCAGCTGTAGTGAAAGCACCCCTGTGTTATCAACACGGTTTTCTTCATAGCAGCTAGTATGGGGCTATGTTTTGGATTTGTGCTGAAAATAAAGTGTCTCAGACAAAACCAGCACACTTTCCACTCCGTATTCCATACCATTTATGTCATGCTCATGTCCCACACTATCCAATACGTCCTCATTAACCACCATGCTCCTTCTCTTCCTTTGATATAGTATATAGATACCATTCTCTGAGTCCATGGGGACCATGCCTGTAAAATGTTCATAGAATGTCCACTGAGTTCATTTAGTCCATGACTTTTGGGCTCCATCTGTTACTGTGGTCACTCAGGACAGAGAGGTGGTGTGTTGTGTGGAGTTAGTGAGCACCAAAGCCAGCTCAGGTCAAGTCACTGCTGCACTTGCACTGCTTCTTGTAAGGCTTGTCTTCCATTGTTTCAGGTGGTTACTGCTATAGTAATTGCTATAATGTGCAACTCAAATAATGGGTTACAACAATTTAAAGGTATTTCCATTATAATCTCCACCCCTGGTCACTTTGAACCAGACCATCAGGTTTAACATTGCAGTGAACTCCTCCCCTTGCCCCTGCTCCTGATTGGACTTATCCACAGACTTCAGCTCCTTAGTGGTGTACGTGCTCCAAGTGGAGCCTTATCTACAAGCCACAGTGCCTCCAGGGGTATACCTGCTGTGGCACAGACTTATCCACAGCTGTAGTTGCTTTGAGGTACACCTGCTCTAGTGTGGCCTTACCCACAGCCACAGTCCCTTCAGAAGTAAACTTGTTGCAACATGGCCTTACTCATGGCTGCAGTCCCTCCAGGGTTGTATCTCCTCTGTCATGGCCTTATCCATGGCCACACGCCTTGAGGTGCTCCAGCATGACCTTATGCACAGCCACTGATGCTTCAAGGTGTATTTGCTGCAGCATGTGGACTTAGCCACAGCCACAGATTCTTCAAGGTGTACCTTCTCCAGTGTGGACTTATCCTTGGGCCACAATCCCTTCAGAGGTATACCTGCTGTGGCACAGACATAACCACGACTGCAGATGCTTTGGGGTGTCCTGCTCCCACGTGAATTCATACACAGGTCACCGACCTTTCAGCTTGAGTTCACACTGTCCAGTACAGCAGCACAGAAATAGCAGCAATGCCCTGGCTGTCTGCCAGCCCAGGCGCATGGCTATTGCTATTATCAGAACATTCCCAGGCACAGCAGAGTCAGATGATAAGCAGTATAGAAAGAAGCAAAAGCAAAAAGCAGCCACTGAGGAGCACTAGATGTTAATATGCAGTAAGGCAAGCAAGCTTCATGGCAAGCACAGGGGCCTGCTGATTAACAGATAAACAGCAGTAACAGCTATAAATTCGATCTAGCGCATTCCAGTCAAATCCCTTTGAGCCCCTGTTCAGGCACCAAAAAGGACTGTTGTGGTTTAACCCCAGGCAGCTATAAGCCTCATGCAGCCGCTCGCTCACTCCCTACCAGTGGAGGGAGGGAGAGAACTGGAAGGGTAAAAGTGAGAAAATTTGTGTGTTGAGATTAAAACAGTTTAACAGGTAAAGCAAGAGCTGCACACACAAGCAAAGCAAAACAAGGAATTCATTCACCACTTCCCATTGGCAGGCAGCTGTTCAGCTATCTCTTTGTATAAGCACTCCTCAGCAGTGACGAAAACATCCCTGTGGTATCAATGCTGTTTTCAGCACAAGTCCGAAACATAGCCCCATACTAACCACTGTGAAGAAACTTATCTCAGCCAAAACCAGCACAGTGGGAAACCGCAATCATTTTCTTACAGAAGCTACTCTACTAGGCAGAGCCTATCTTCCAGATGTATTCAGAATGCCTGTGACCAAATCATAAATTTTATTCATTTAAACAGAGAATTAGTTGGAACTTCAGCAAGAATTAAATTGAACTAGAGTGTGTGAGTTAGGGACTGCCACCTCATTCTGCAGATGCCTCTTCATTTCAAATTCAGTTGTCTTCTTGAGTTACCTTTTCTGCTTGACTCAACTGCTCTAACTTTGCAGGGCTGAAAATACTTTTTCAGAAGGCATTTCCTGATTTGAATCTTAAGGAAGATAAAAGCAGTTTCCCTCAGTCAGGGCAGAGACTTGAAGTTCCAAAGCCAGACAAAGTTTAAGGTGTGCCTGTGTATACTTTCTGTTTTGTTCTGATTGCTTCTAGACAGATTTCCACTGAAGGCTCTTGACTTCTATGTAGCTCTGTCGTCAGTGGCTTTGGATCCCAGCACAAATTTTCTGGCTTTTAGGTATTAAGTGACTGCTTCAGGGATCAAGTCCTTAAACTCTTTCATTAGGTTTAGTCTTCACTGTTACTGTCCAAATTGACCCCAAAAATGTGGAGATTCAACTCAGTTGCCCACAGACTTGAGGTGTGTTGGTAATATGTTTTGTCTCAGTGTCTACTATGATGAAGCAGCTTTCCAGCAGTCTCTCATATAACTCAGTGACTTCTTGTTGCTGTTTACTGATACAATTTTGCATTTTTATTTTTATTATTTCCTAGTCTGTGGACAGCTGAAGCACTCCACTCCCACCTTTGTGTCAGATTTGCAGTTTTAAAGTTCAGTAACTTTCCAGAGAGGTAGATACTTTGTATACTTTAGAAAAGGGATTCCTTTCTAGTTCCTAAAATCAACTGCTAATTCTTAATCCTTAAAGGCTGTGATATCTTTGAAAGTTCACACATAGTAGTTAATGTAGACCTAATAGTTTTGGCCAAAGAAAAAATAACCATTTTGAAAGAAGAACTTTTGGTTTTTCAAGGTGCTGGGACATCTTGTTGGATGCATGGACTTGAAGATTGGTAGGAAGTTGGTTACTGGCTGTAATGCAGGGGATTTAAGTATTGAAGCTGAGATTCGTTACAAAATTCTACAACTTTATTTCCCTGGGCATCATGTTGTAAATTTCCCCCCCAAAGTACCTACATTCATGTGCACACGCAAATAACAGTGTTGGACTGTTGCGAGTGTTTTATAGGTAGAGCAAAACAGCGATGGAAGTGCCCCATGTAAGGCCAGGGAAACCAAGTTAAACTGGTAGTCTTCGTACTTAGTTTTCGTTTTTTATCACTGGTCAAAAGAGAATTTAAAAGTGAGTAATGATTTTGCTGTAATTTTTTTTCTTTGTTGTCTTCAAGGGGTTAGAGTGTTTATTGAGAAGAAGGCACAGCTGACACTTCTAGGAACTGAAATGGACTATGTAGAAGACAAACTGTCCAGTGAATTTGTCTTCAATAATCCAAACATCAAAGGAACATGTGGCTGTGGAGAAAGCTTTAACATCTGAAATCTCAGGACTACTTCTTTGACTTTGAACACCTCAAAACACTTAACTATTATGGCTTTCAAAGCAAATGCATTTTCTTCAGGTTCATAGGCTGCATAAAGTGTGGATATCATTAAGAAAAATAAATCATTTTGAAAATGTAAATATTGTGTAAATTCCACCACTGATGTAGTTAATGCTGTAGTTTGTGATGAATTGGGGATCCAAAAGGTAATAACAGTAAGTGCTGTAGTAACATTTCTGTACTTTCACATGCCAAGGAAATAAAATCTCACTGTTCTTTTCCTTTGTTATTTTCTTTGTCCACTCTACTCACATTTCCCTATCCAAAACCCATTTGAAAGATACTGCCTATGTGTTCTGTTTGGTAGGGGGAGTGGGGAACCCAGCCATTCATATGTGTTTGTTTATAAAGATTTATGTGCACAGACACACAATCCTCAGCTTCAGAGTTCACTATGATTATGTAAATGCTTGCTTTGGTTTTGTAGTTTTCTGGTACTTTCATCTGCATTTTCTGGTTTATTTTCCCATGAATCTGGGGAAGTCCAAAAAGGAGTTCATGTATTAATATAGTGGTAGGCTACCATAGCACTGCTTGTGGAAATACTTAAAAATGGGCTAACCCAGTTGTAATTCTGTTCTTGTCCTTGTTGAAGGCACAGTCTCTGCTGCACTTAGAAAGTAATTTTCAAGAACATGAAATATATTGAGGCACTGGAATAATAAAGCAGGATTCACACAGGCCTTGTTTCTCACATTTCTGGTTTTTATCTTTCTTGGCTTAACTAGCAAAGTTGGTAAAACTGCCTCCAAATTCTGACTTCCCATATTCACAGAATGTGGTGTCTGTGTAGCAAAAGCTATGAACGCTTTTTTTGAGGGGATTCTTACACTTTTTCATTGTTTGGGTTGTTTGGGTTTTTTTGTAGTCATGTCTGCTACTAATTTGTTACTTGAACTCTGTTTTGTAGCTCTGTAGGTACTAAGGTTTTTCACCAAAGCTTATGGTAACTTCTGTTTAACTGCTGTCTTGAGTTTAACTTGCTAACAGGAGAAAAAGCCTTTATAATTTTAAAACCCCTAGAGTATTTCATGGTTGTTTTAAATTACTCTAGACAGCAATTAAAATATGTTTATAGGAGGCCAATTTTCTTTGGAATTTAAACTGTCTCCTGATCAGAATTTTGTTTTTGTAAAGCAGTGTTTTTCAAGCTTGTAAAGTCTTCAGCGCTTCCACTAGTGCTCAGGCAGAAGTGTAAATGTGTCTCCAGGCCATCCCAAAAGCTGATATGAGAGAAGTACTGTTACATGCTTTTATCTTCGTGTTTCCCTGATTGTCCACAGATGACGTTGTGCAGTCAAGCTGCTCACTTTGCAGAAGAGAAGATAACATCTCTGCCTGGGCAACTGGTTGGAACAGATGGTGAAAAGGGTGCAAATAAAAAGTAGGGGACAACAGGAACTGGAATCTTGCAGTCAAATACAAGAAGGTGTTGACATGAGAGTGAACTGAGAGGATTACAGCTGCATGCTGAAAATCCGGAGGTCATGTTGGACTGGACAGTTGTGCTCACATGGCTGTGAACAACTTTGGAACAGTAATGTGCCAAAGACGTAGGATTGCAGGTACATTTTTATTTATCCATCTACACCTTTTGTCAAGGCATTTGGGAAAAGGTGTAGAGGAAAGATTAAAAATGAAAAAGTAATTACTGATCTGTTTCATATAGTGCACAGGAACAGAAGGCCAGAATTTCCACACCTGTAGTTACATACTTGAATTGTATACGGTATCACCTTTTGATGTAAAAACACTATTTCCTTTAACAGTCAACTGTTGTACACAGTTACTTTATATAATAATTCAGGAATTACTGGTAATACACTGGCTAAGTGCGTTTATAGTGCTGTAATTCTTTCAGTCTTGCCAAACAAAAAAAAAAAATCCCCTGCAGTTAATGTGATATAGCCGCATTAATATGTCTGAAACTGCAAGCTAAGGGCATTTCTTCAGATTGCATTTCTCTGCTTCTTGATAGAGGGCAAGACTTTCAGTGTGGTAGCACTGTTGGTTGCTAAGAGTGCAAGTACTTACTCATGTAACTTCTTTTGGTGTGTTTTGAGGTGGGGGGGTTGGTTTGGGGTTTTTTAGACCTGTGGCACGTATAGCAATCCTCTTGTGTTTTGTACATATGCCTTGAATTAAAGTTTGCACTTCTGTACTCCCATGAAGTACTCCTCTAAATTGCCACTTTACTAAGACACCTAACACACAACATGTTGAACTTCTGTTAAAGCGCTGGCACAGTTGCATATGAGCATGGTTTTGTTGATCAGTCTGCTATAATTTTGTGCGATGCTGTATGTAGAGTTTTTAGTTATAATAATAAATATTGTCAGTTGATAAGCATGAAATATTCCTGTCTTGAATTATTCTGTTTACAGTAATAAGTATGGGGGGGCGGAGAATAGGTTTGTATGCTGGGCTTACAAAGTAGATACAATATTACTGTTACCTGAGATAATATTTCTCAGGAATATTAAACACTTACAAATATTAATGGTATTGGAATAGCATAGAAACATATGGCAAAAAAATTAACTGTACAAAAAGCATAACAAAAGAGTGGGCTGTTAATGCATAGACTTCTATTAAACTTCGCAATATACCATCCTCCAGGTAAAGAGTTTAACACGAGAGATGCTTATTTTGAAGGCTTCTACATGCCAAAAAGTCATTGTGGTATGTTTAAATGCAGGAAAATAATTTTGATCAGAGTAACTGCTGACATAAAAGCTTTTTAATTGGCTAGGCAATTTGAGAGTGAGAATCAATGGACATTCTCAGCCATTCCACTTCAGTGCTGTGAAATGGCAGTAATATGCCATAGTGTACTATGTGTGCGACACATTTTGTTTTTTCTCTTAGTTATAGTCTTTCCACCTCTAAAGCTAAGTTTCCTTTTCCTATTATATGGAGACTCTGAATGACAGGAGGTGAAGTAATAAATTCTGGAAAAATGCTGGAAAATGTTGATACAGTTGCGTATTCATGATGCTGGAGAGAGAGAGAGAGAACCAAATCCTTCATATAGTCAGGACCCTGGAAATGCAAGTTGCCTTTCTGTTAGCATTCTTACAGAACCTGTAAAAAAATGCTTGCTTGCACCAGCAAGTCAGTATTCCTGATCCACCCCATTTTGTAGCTCTCTTTGAATGGCTCAAGAAGAACAACTTGTTTAGGGAAACATTGAACAGTTCAATATACAGGTCATCCTGACAACAGATGATGGGACAAAATGAATTTGAACAAAAAAAAAAAAAAAAAAAAAAAGGGAATGCAAGTAATGGGACTTTGAAATTTAAGGTCAAGGACATACAGTGTTTTTTTGAGTGTGATGGGTTAGCCCAAACCACACACACCTGCTCACACAATTCCCACCCCCATCCGAGGATAGGGGAGAGAGTTAAAGGGGTAGATGGAAAAAAAAGGACTCTTGGGTTGAGATGAGGACAGTTTAATAACTACAATAATATTGAAAATAATACTATATGCAAATATACAAATGAGTGATACACAGTGATACTGACACCCCCACCCGATGACCAAAGGCTCAGCCTGTTCCTGGCTAATGATCCCGGAGAAGGGAGAGAATGAGTGATACACAGTTATACTGCCCCCCCCCTTCCTCCCCCCCCCGATGATTAGCCTGTTCGTGGCTAACGATCCCGGAACAGGGGGAGTCGACCCCGGCGCAGGGAGGGGTCCTGAAACCTCCCGGAGCAGAAGGGAGGGTCCCTGAAACACCACACTCATAAACTGGAGATAACAGTCCAAGCGTCCCAGACCGAGAGCTGACCGGGGTGTGTGGGAGGGAAAGGCCTTGGGAGAGCGAATGCAGGCACCTGAAGTGAGATGATCTGGAGCTAAAGGAAGCTGGAATCAAAAAGGGCCGAACTTCCTGAGGGTCCTCACCTATATACTGGGCATGACGTGTATGTTATGGAATAGATTACTGGCTAATCTGAGTTTTCAATAACCTAAGAGCAAATCCTAGGCTAGCAACCGGCTGTGCCTCTTCACTCGTCTGCCGACCTTGGCAGAAACACAAAACATCATTTCTTATCAGCTTCTTCTGAGCACAAATCCAAAACACAGCCTCTTGCTAGCTATTAAGAAGAAAGTTAACTTGGTCTCTGCTTAACCCAGGACATTGAGTTAAATCCCATCTGACATAGGTTGCTTCTATTGTTTGGAGGTTTTAATTGTAGTTATTATTCTCCCCATTTAAATCAGTACCTTTTCTAGTGCAAAAATTCTCCAACTCTACCAGTATTGTACTTACACTAGCTGCCAGGCCATTTATTAAATACACTTTTTATTATGCTAAAATTTTGCTGTCTCCTATTACAGAAGAATTTCATAGTTGTCTAATGTGGCAGAGTGTGCATCTCTGTGTTTGTCCCAAAGGAACCCTCAAAAGATTACTTGAAAAATTACTTTTTGTCATGAGCAGTACAGCTTTTTGTCTATAAAGTGATCTGCCAGACAGGGACCAGTTTGTCTTACTTTGTTCTTTACTGACACTTTTAACATATATGAGATACGCTGCTTCAACCTGGTGACCAAAATGCAAGTACTTCACACAATTCCACATGCATTTGGGTTTGAGCAGCATTTGACTAGCAATTTTTGTATGCAATATCTGGCATTTATCTTATAGAGAGACACAGCAAGGGAAGATTAACCGCTGAATTTAAGAAAGGTCTTGACCCCCACCTTCCACGGTCCCTTTCAGTGGGCCGTGCCCCAGCTGCCAGCAGTGCTCCCCGAGCTCCTCCCAGGCTGGAACTAGGGGTCCCAGGCTGCCTCTGCCTAGGGGCAGGGTCGTAACCGCTGCTTCTCTTCGCGGGCTGGGCTCTTGGGAACAGACACCTGCTGCCACTGGGTGGCGGCAAGTATCCAGCCCACGCGCTTCAAAAGGCTAATCGCGGTACCCGTGTTCTAGGTTTCCTATTGCATTTCCCGAATACCGGAGTACTTTTGTTTATACTGATGAAAACCATCGCTCAGCTGTGCTGTTTGTCCTTCTTGTATTCTGTTCTGCGCTTTTTACCTGTTCCTGAAGGATGGCAGGTGACTACAGAAACGCAAAATGCCAAATCGCTTCAGAGCTCCTGATGCAAAGGGAAGCAGAGGAGCAGAGCACAGCTTCCCGACCAGCTTCGGCTATTGAAGCATTGTTTTTTTTTCACCATTCCTTCCCTTGCTAGTAGTGTGCTA